CATCAATGTCTTTCTTCAATTCTGAGCATTCGTCCTCCAGTTTCCTCTTCTTGGCTGTCAACTCAGCATTCATTTCTTCTTCATCTTCAGCCCGCTCAGTCAGCTCCTTAATTTTAGCTTCCAGTTGGATTTTGGTTTTGATTAGCTGGTCACATCTCTCCTCAGCATCTGCCAAGCCATCAGCTTCCTGTAAGTACCAAAAGAAAAAGGGGTTGTAAAAAATATTTTATCTTCTCATTTCTTTTTGGGTTTAAGAAACAATTCTAGATAATGACATATATGTTCATACTGACAAGGAATATGCTCTGTAGCTAATACTAGCATGTTGTTATAAAAGTGACTACACATTTTTTTTCATCAAAAGATTGCATTTTTATGAATATTTCAGAAGAATAACTGCAGTATACACTCTTGAACTACATTCGGCTCTTTAAAATGTTTACAGACCCTTCAGACCATCTTTACTCAATGAAGATAGGATTGAGACTAAAAGGTCTAGAATCCCTTATGGAAAAAAAACTATCTACATGATTCCTACTTTCTTTCTGAGCCCAACCCTCCTGGCTAATTCATTGTCGGATGAAAGTTCAGATTTTAATCTCCTGCACAGATAAATAAAAAGGCTATAATCTTAGACATATTTAGGACACTGAAAACAGATGGTGGATTCAGTTTTCCCAGCAGTACCCTATTTAAGCTTTTCTGTTTTACTGAATGGAAGCTAGGATGTAGGAAAAAATAAAACATGTATGTTTGTTCAGGTTGTGTCTATGTTCTGATTATGATTGCTTTGATCCTTACTAACAGTCCACAAAATGGGAAGGTGGGGATGAGCAAAACTACAGCACATCATTGAAGTGGAATGGAATTGATAAAGACGGAGGGAAAAGACTTGAAATATGGTTAGAGAGGAATGCATGGAAGCAGGATACATTTTTGAGACCCCATGGATAGAACAGTGAAATCAAAAAGAAGGGTGAGGCAAAGATTTAAAAAATTTTTTTAATAGTGCTTTCTTCTGGGTTTCCATTTGTACTTAATATCTATCAGCTAAGTATAAAAACATTGAATAAGCTGGAAATTATTTCACTGCAAGATTTTTTGCAGTTTTGTCTCATACGTAATGTATATAGGTCACAGATTAGAATTAGGTTATTAGTACAAAAATCTCTAATGTTATCAAAATTCTTACAGATTGGACTTGGAGCTGCAAGTCATTTTTTTCCTGCATCAGGGTCACCATTTTTTCTTCCAGTTCCTTCCGTTTTGCTTCTGATTTTGCAAGTTCTTCCTTTGTTTTCTCAAACTCTTCCTTCATGTTGGCCATTTCTTTCTCTGACTCAGCACTCTTCAGCAGGGGCTTGATCTTGAAGTATAATTTCATCCAAGGCCAGTGCTTCACATTCATGAATGAACGAATATTGTACTGAAGAGTGAAGATGGATTCTCTGGAAGGAAGGCAAACAAAATTTTAAGCATGATTCTATTAATCAGCTTGAGTTAATTCTGATGTATTTGTGATATATTGTCTTATTGTGCACATAGGCTCATTAAATTAATGTGATCATGAGCCTTATTATAAATGGTAAAACTCTACCTCCTTTCCATCATTTTCTTGAACTCCACTCTCATCAGAAAGCCACGACACACAGCTTGGGTACGTGTAATAAGCTGAGCCAACTTCTCATCTCTCATCTCCTCCAGAAGACCCAGAAGGCCAGCTTTGAAGAACACCTTGAGGGGGAAGAAAATGCAAAGTTGTGGTCTCTTCAAACAGACCCAGTTTTTAAACTTTTTGTAACAGAGAGTAATTTTACCTTGGTATGGCCAAACTTATATTGAGTGTGGTCCACGTCAATGGATCCAAGAAGTTTCTCAGAAGCCTTCTTGCTGTCAATGAACTGTCCCTCTGGGATAGCACTTGCATTTAATATTCTGTATCTGTTGGAAGAAGCTTAGTTTATATATCTAAAAATATCAAAATGCACTAGCTTCAAGGAAAATTATAATTACAAATATGGGAGGCACAAAGTTGAAGAAGGCTAATATTTAGCACACTGACCTCTGTTTGAAGTCACCATAAATGATCCTACTAGGGAATCCCTTTCTGCAAATTCTGATGCCTTCCAGCACACCATTACACCTCAGTTGGTGCAAGACAAGCTCATGTTCCATGGCACCTTAAATGATGTTGGAATATATTGGCAGTACAGAATAGAACTCAGAGCAATGCTGCTCATACATAATTAAAGTGTATAATTCTTACCAGGAGTTTTAGTTTCATTGGGGATGAGGCAGCGCACGAAATGAGGGTGAGTGCTCTTCAGATTGGTCATTAGCTTGTTTAAGTTCTCCTGTAGGACCAGAAATATTTGTGACATCTAAGTAGACTTCATGACTCCCAATACTTTTTTTAAAAAGCCAACTTTAAATTGTTTATTAGATTTCTATCCCACCTTTCCCCAACAGCTCAAGGTGGAATTCATAGCAATTTTGAATCTAGCCTTATGATCATAACATAATCCCTATGAGGAAGATTGGGCTGAGAAACTAGAGACTGGCTCCAAAACACCAATGATTTGCTCCATTCTGTATTAGTAAGGCAAATTTAAGTGTTCTTCTCCTTTAATTGTAATCTTTAGTTCCTTCTGGTTCTGTCTAGTGTCCAACCTTCAAAGTCCCATCTTATCATTTTTTTTAGAATTCAAATCTAGGTGAGGATTCATGACTTTGAGTGAGGATATATAGTGAACTAGATGTCCCTGAAGGAGTGTGGATGGCATTGCAGCCAGATCACCAGGTAGTTGGTGGATTCTGGCTGGCGAAATCTCTGCAGAAAAAGAAGAGATTGTGAGATTGCCCAATTGCACTCTGGACAGCTGTTCCTTGTGAATAGACTGCAGGAACCGAGGTTTTTGGAGTCAGTTTGTGAGTTGAGCAGCTGGGAGTCAAGGGATTTCAATCAAGCTCACAGCCATAATGTAGCCTATATGGACACAAAATTCAGCTGAGCCTAATGTCTTAATCAGTTTTGGAATTACTTCTTAATTGCTTTTCAGTTATTAGGAACCTTCAGAGCAGCAAGTTTTATAGCACTCACCAGGTGACTTTTCTTCAATCCTTAGCAAAAGAAGTTTTTAATACAAGATTAAGGACTTTAAAAAAAATCTTCTTTTGGAATAAACAGCAAAAAGGTGATTAGAACATTGATTTTAGAAAGTTATAAACGGACTAAGGGTCTAGATGGACTTGAAATAAGACTTAGACATTAATTATAAGAATCCTTCCCATGGGGAAAATGTTACTGTTTTGAATTCCAAAACACCAATGATTTGGAACCTGGTTCTCTCTATTTGTAGTCCAATATCTTAACCATTAGACTGAGCTCACTGATCAAGGGAACAACTAAAGAGAATATTTGGAACAAAATCAGGCTTCACTGACTACACTTTTGCATGCTTTTGTACTGACAGAGTACTTTTGGATCCCTGAATCACCCTTTCTAGGGCAAGCATCCTCTGAATTTGTTTCATCAGTTTCTGCTCTAACTCAGGAATAGATTGTTAACAATTTATTTAAAATAGGTTCATCTCAGGCTGCACAAATAGTAGAATTGTGCTTACCCTAAAGAGAGCAGATACAGTCTGGAAAGAAGAACCCTTCTTCTTTCCACCTTTCTTGCCACCACCCTCTAGGAGAAAAATATAAATATATATGATGCAATTAAAACATGGTTGGGAAAATATATAACATTATTTCTTTAGACTTCAAAGGAATGTTCTTTGGATATGTAGTTACCAACATCTGCAGGGCGATCCATAAAGAGTAATGCCAATGTCTTCATGGAGGATTTCTGGAACAGTTGAATGACACTTTCATTCAATGGATCCTTGTTTTTTTCCAGCCAGCCTGTAATGTTGTAGTCCACAGTGCCAGCATAGTGCACCAGGGAGAAATGAGCTTCTGCTTTGCCTTTCCCTGGCTTAGGCTTTTCAAAGTTCTTGCATTTGCCAAGGTGCTGGTCATAGAGCTTGTTCTTGAAAGACATGTCTGTGGCCTTGGGGAACATGCACTCTTCTTCCAGGATGGAGAAAATGCCCATGGGCTGGAGAGAGCAAGACAGAGAGATTGCTACAAGAAATGTTCTTCACTGTAACCGAAATTACACTTTTCATAGTCAGCATTAAGCATTTGTGACTGTAGCAGAATGGGATTAAGAATTCATCAATTTTATATACATGTATACTATATCAGGTTTAGAAAACATATATCATCTTGGAGGTTAAAAACTTTATTTTTAAAAGACCTTCTCAATGAGTTCAATGCAGGCAGCCAGGTCCATTCCAAAGTCAATGAACTCCCATTCAATTCCTTCTTTCTTGTACTCTTCTTGCTCCAGTACAAACATGTGGTGGTTGAAAAACTGTTGCAGTTTCTCATTAGTGAAGTTGATGCACAGCTGCTCCAAGCTGTTAAACTAGACAATACAAAGTAATTTGAAAATAACAATCACCTTTACCAATGTTCCTAATATAGCTTCCTTTCCCTAGGCTTTCTTAAATATTTAAGGTTTGTGTAAATGTACAAATATCTAACCTCCTTCTTGAATCAGTGCTAGCAGGTCTGCTCATAATATTCTTTGCTGTTAAATCCATTTTTTTTTCAGTATGCCCTATACTCACTACCTCCAGTGTTTTCAAAGACTATATCTATGCCACAGCTGACTTGAATTTATGACCCACACTCTTCATGCCAAAAAATTCTACAGTTTCTTCTCTGTGCCAGATAGTTCTATTTAAATCATCCTTCCAGTCAACAGCTCAGAAATGATTTGACTACTTTAGTGCCTTGCATTCAGAACATTGTTGAACTGTACTTCACTCATTAACTGCTTAAACATTTTATAAACATCACATCTCTACTTTCCAACACTATGCCACCAAGGCCCGGTTTCCTTACATCAAATATCTCAAAGCCAGCAATGTCCAACACTCCTATGAAATGCTGTCTAGGTTGTTTGGTGTCCAACTGCTGGTTGATACGAACAACCATCCACAGAAACATCTTCTCAAAAACAGCCTTAGCCAAAGCACCAACGCTATTATATACCTATACAAACAGAATGAAAGGGACTGTATCAGCATATAACTGGGCCAATAATCCATTGCCTATGAAACCTTCTCTTGCAGGTCCTTACCTGCTGGACAGTTTGGCCTTTGGTGACAAATTCATTGCCAACTTTGACTCGGGGGTAGCACAGAGCTTTCAGCAAATCTGCTGAGTTGAGGTTCATGAGGTAGGCAGCCTTGTCTGCCACTGAGCACAAAAATAAGAGGAAAGGTTTATGAGCAAAATGTATGCTTTCTGTATTGGAAAAGGCATGTACAGACAAACACTATATGACACTTTATATAAGACACATTTCCAAGAAATAAGTACAAGAAAAAGCAGACAATCTTTTCTTAAGATGAATTTTTGTTGGTGCAGGAAGGAAGGAATAATTATGTCTATCTGAACATAAATTAAGTTCATGAGGTTAAATAAAAACACTTGTTTAGTGACAACATTTTGTCATCCGTTATTCCTTATTTCATTTCAAAGTAGATATTACAGTACAGGTAGTCCTCACTTATCAACCATTCATTCACCAACCATTCAAAGTTATGACAGAGCTGAATGAGGAGACTTGCGACCAGTCCTCGAAATTGTGGCTGTCGCAGTGTCCCCATGTTCATATGATCATGATTCAGGTGCTTGGCAACCGGCACAGATTTATAATGGTTGCAGCATCCCGCAGTCATATGATCCCCATTTGCAATCTTCACAGCCAGCTTCTGACAAGCAAAGTCAATGGAAGTTGCAAGTTGTGGTCATGTGACATTGCACTTAGTGACCTACAGTGATTCACTTAACAACCACGGCCAGAAGTGATGAACTGCAATCGTAAGTCAGGTGCAGTCACGTGATTTTTCACTTTACAACTATGTCGCTTAGCGATGGAATTACCAGTGCCAATTCCAGTTAGTAAGTGAGGATTACCTGTATAAATTAGTGTGTTATAAAAACAGATAATATTTACTTTGTATGTGTAGGACACTGGAAAAAAGAGCATTAATTTCAAACCCTAACTTATTATCTCTGCAATACTGAAGTCAAGCCAAATTATTTTCCTGCAAGATTTATCAAGATCTGTCTGCAATGCTTATTTCTTAACATAACTATTACTGTAACAGTTATATTATTACTAATAACATTGGAAGATATTATTTGCATAAGTGTTTGGTTTTTATTCTATTTTATTGTATTTTATATTGTTTTTACTGTATATTAATTAATATTTATTGATGTTTTATTGTGAACCACCCAGAGTCACTTTTTTG